CCTCAGCGGGAGTGTCGATGTCTATGTCGATGTCTGCTCGTTCTGGGGCTGGGGAAGATGTTTCGGCCTCAGGCTGTGTGTCGGCGGGGAGCGGAGTCGGCGTCTGCAGTCCGGTCCGACCGCCGGCACCGGAGGAGGTCAGCAGCATCATCAGCCCATCCATCTTCCGTTCTAGCTGTACTGTCTTGGATAAGGGGCGCGTCTTGCGACGGCCCTCGGGGATGCGACATTCTTTGTTGAGACGATGGCATCTGTGGTGTTTGCAGTATCTTGTCAATGCTAATGTTCCTGTCAACTGGTCGGACTTTGACCCACCTTTCACAGCGGCCGCCCGCACTCCGGGGAACGCATCGACACTTGGCACGAGCACAGGTGGCACACGCATTGCCATAGGGGAGGGGAGAGCGTATGGCGGATTCCATCATGTTACGCACGCAGATCTTACTGAGCTCACATAGAGTGGGAAGAGAAAGGGGCAAAGAAGAGGAAGCGGAGGAGGGATAGGAGGGAGAAACAGTGGAAAAGGAAAGGGAGCGGACACGGCGTTGGGCCAACCCCGGTTGCCACGTGATCTTTCTCTGCCCATCGGAGGCATGTCTGACATGTACACATTCAACTTGACATATTAATTTGAGTCATTTGATTAAGTGAACAAGCTGACCAAATATCCTTTCCAGTCTTCAGTCTCGCTCACCCCTGCCCAGGCATTTTGCCCAGTGTCTGCTGACTCCGACCACTGCATCTGGATACAGTCCTCCACTGTACTGTACAGTACATACAGCCTCACATTTTTAGAGTTATGCTTACCATCCAACCTTATCACCCCCTCTCAACACACCTATGGAGTGATTCAATCCCTCAACGGACAAGTCAGCCATCTCCGCTCCTCTCCTCAAGATCTCCGACCGTAAGATGTCTACGATTGGTGGTGAGTCCGAAGGATGCGGCCCCCAGCGCTGGGCGACCGGAGTCTAGCCTTGGAGCCTTGCAGCCTTAGGGCTGGCCCAAACCCTTTTCTTCTGCTATAGAAAAACAACCCCTGCTTCTCCTGCTCAATCCACCTTATCGTGCAACCATCGCCTTAGTTTGACCCCTCGAGAATGTCGGAGACACACGACTCATCTTCTACCGCCTCCAGCCTGGAGAAGGGCCCGCAGCCCGCGCACACTGGCGACCATGGCGACTCGGAAACCAGTCACTCGGTGGAAGATGCCAGCCCGGCTGCTGCTTCGCCCCCTAAGAAGCAGGGAACCAAGGCCTGGTTGGCACTGATCGGTGGTGTTTTGGGCATGTTCGCCTCCTTTGGCTGGGTCAACTGTGTTGCGGTCTTCCAGGCCGAGTATGAACTGAACCAGCTGCGTGACTATTCCAGTTCGCAGGTGTCCTGGATCTCCTCGGTGCTCTGTATGTTGGCATCCCCCTCGAAAAGCGCAAAACAAATATCTCTGACAGGGTCTAGTCTTCTTCATGCTCGGATTCTCCCCCGTGGCCGGTCGACTGTACGATGGCCATGGCCCGCGTCTCCCCATCGTGATCGGCACCTTCCTGCACGTCTTCGGGCTCATGATGGCCAGCCTGTCCACCAAATACTACCAGTTCATCCTCAGCCAGTCCGTGTGCTCTGGCCTCGGCACCTCGTTGATCATCACTCCATCCATGACCGCCGTAAGTGGTTCAGTCTCTGCCTCTACCCCCACAAGCACACCGCTCATACTTCTTCCTCAAAGCCAATGACCTACTTCCACGACCGCCGCGCCCTGGCCGGAGGATTCGCCATCGCCGGCTCCTCGCTGGGCGGCGTCATCTTCCCCTTTATGGTCAACCACTTGCTCGCGTCGATCGGGTTCGCCTGGACGATGCGCGCCTGCGCGTTCTTGATCCTCGGCCTGCTGCTCGTCACCTGCACGCTGATCTCGTCCAATGCCACCCACAGCCCGAAGGAGTTCAAGCTCAGCCACTACCTGCGGCCGTTGAAGGAGGTGAACTTCCTGCTGATGTGCATCGCCAGCTTCTTCATGTACTGTACGTTCTCCCATTCTCCATCACGACCGCAAGAATCAGGCAACAAAGAAAACTGACAAAAGTAAAGGGGGCATGTTCGTCCCGTACGTGTTCATGGTGATCTCCTCCATCCACTACGGCATGTCCGTGACGATGGGCTACAACCTGATCCCCATTCAAAACGGCGTAAGGTATGTTGTTCCAGCCCTCCTCTTCCTCCCAAAGACCACCGTACCCCCCCCAACAAAGAATAAACTAACCCATCATCAAGCTTCTTCGGCCGCACCGTTCCCCAAATCTGGGCGCGCAAGTACGGCCAATTCAACGTCTTCATCCTGGCGATGGTCGCCTCGATCGTCGTTGTGCTCGCCTCGTGGCTCCCCTCGCGCGGCAACGCCGCCATCATCGTCTTCACCATCCTGTTTGGGTTCGTGTCCGGCACCACCATCGGCCTGGGCCCCATGCTCGTCATGGCTCTGTCCCCGCCCACGGAGATCGGGTACCGCGTCGGCACGGTGTTCGCGGTGGCCGGGTTGGGGGCGTTGACGAGTCCCCCCATCGCGGGTGTGTTGATTACCCGGAATGGCGGGGATTATGTGTACGCGGCGGTGTTTAGTGGGGTGGCGTATGCGGTGTCGACGGTTGTGATGGTGATTTTACGGGTGAGGGTTGGGGGGTGGGGGTTTTTGTCGAAGGTCTAGTTAGGGGTGGTTTCGTGGATCTTGGGGAGGGTTTGGCTGGGGCTTGGGAGATGGGCCAGAGGTAGTGGGAGGGGAGAGGTGCGATGGTGTATATCTGTCTTAGATGCATAATTTATATAAAAAAGTTGGATTATGGTTTATTCAATATTGTCAGCTGATAGAAAACTAAGATATTAGATGAAAATGCCCCCTTGGTAAGATTCTGTCTTTGACATGAATTCTAGACCAAATTAGAGTATGCAGGACGACAGATGTGAAGCGCAAATATTCAACACACGCATTATTGTTATGTTTCTTTCTTGTTACGCTGTTTTATCAGAGTATAGCATCATCCACTGACATATTCAATATACATAACAAATCACTACCCTCAATTTGTCCGTCCCAAACTACAAATCGGACACGATTGCAAAAAGCACGGATAGCATTGCCTACTACCTACCGGCCTAACAGAGAACAGAAACCATCTCAGCAACTAACCAGAAACCAACTAAGCACACGCCCGAATGGGATACACCAACTTAAACCCCGCCGCCTGGCCCCGGCGCACCGCGTCAATGCCCCCAATCACCCCCTGCAACCCGCCGGACTCCTCCTGCACGGGATGCGTGACCAGCTTCCCCTCGGCCAGAACCGCCTCAATCGCCGCGTACCACCGTTCCGCGGCGGCGCGGTCCGCCGGCCGGGCCAGAAGATTGTACGGCGCCTCCCAGCCGACGATCTCGCGCCCGAACTGCGTGAACAGGAAGACCCACTCCGGCCGCACGCTGCGGCGCGTGTGCCGGTTCAGCGGGAACGGGTCCAGCGAGACGTACTTGCCCCCCGCGCGCCCGATCGCCTCGTAGCAGATCTGCATCGACTCCGTCGTGCTGATGCAGTCCAGCGCGAACGCCAGCGTGTTGGCCGTGTGGTCGCGCAGGTCCGAGCCGCAGGTTGGCGAGCGGTAGTCGAAGGTCGCGGCCGCGCCGAGTTGCTGTAGCCGGGTGAAGTTGTGCGGGGAGCTGGTGGTGAGGGGGGTGAAGCCGGATCTGGTGGGATATTCAGTCAAATGGTTAGTTGGGGTGGGGTTTCTTTTGTCGTCGGGTCTTCTTTTTGTCGTTTTCAAGAGAGGTTTCGAGGTGAAGGGTTGCTTACCGACGCAGCACTTGGATGGCCAGCGTCCCTGTCGCGGTACCTCCGCCGTACACCAGGACATACGTCGGAGGCTTCTTGGAGTCGATACTCTCCGAGTCGGATGCTCCGGCGCCCACAAGCGGCAGACCGAGGGTCTGGTATAGCGCCAATCCGGTGGTCGCCAGTCCGCAGCCCAGCGTCGCCGCCTGCTGGAAACTCATCGAGTCCGGGATGCAGAGCACCAGCGCCGCGGGCACGGCGACGTACTCGGCGAAGGCGCCGTTGTCGCGCTGACCCGCGTTGTTGCCGAACACGCAGCCGCACACGCGCGTGCCCAGGGCCAGTCGCGCCGACGAGAACGCGGAGGAGGTGACTTCCTCACCGAGGGCCACGATCTCACCGGCGAAGTCTAGCCCCGCCGTGGCACCGGGGCTGGGCGACATGTCGGCGGATTTGGCGTCGTACGGGTTCAGTCCCACACAGGCGACCCGCACCAGCACCTCGTCGGCGCGCAGCTGGGGTAAAGGCTGGCTGGTCTGCAGCTCAATGCTGCCGGGACCGGCGATCTTCAGCGCCTGTTGGGTAGTCGGTAACTCGCTCATGGTGGGTGTTGTGTGTGGACAGGATGCGGGGGTGGGTTGGGACTGTGGCTGGGGCTGTGGCTGTCTTCGCGAGTTGTCGACGCGTGGAGACTAGTGGACTGGATATGTATGAGGCCTGGTCTGGTTTATGACCGGATGGCTATTGCTGCGATGAAGTTATTTAGTTGTCTCCATACTTCTGGAGTTTCCGATGACGATAACTAGAGGGCCGCGGACTGATTGGCGGGCGGGGTCCGGCGGGCGGACGGACTTAGGGCTGACGCCGGAGTTGCTGCTTACGCTCCACGGCCTTTGTCCGGAGGATGCATCAGGAGAGGTTGCGGAGATGGAGGCAGGAACCGACAGAGGAAAAGAATACATACGTTATCTACTGACATGATCCAGCCTTTCCGGATGTTGCCATTCCCCTGTCTCCAGTGAATCCTCAATTCCTTAGAGCCACTGACAGTCACAAAACGTGAACCCCAACATGGCAACCAGCGCTTTCTTGCAGCAATTCCAGGCGGACGAGAATAAGAGCCAGTATGTCAGTGCAGTGGCTGGCTCGGTGCTCGTCTTCGCCAGTGCGTTCGCATTGAACGCCATGAGGCGACCGAAAGAGTTCACAACCGACCAGGGCAAACGCATTGTTGAGCTTCCCGCTGACGTGCGCATGTCCAAGTTCATTCGCAGGTGAGGATCACCCACGAGCAGTCCCTACATCAATGACTACTGATCAGGTTCACTGACAACCCTCAAGTCGGGAGTTGTCCGAACAAGGGGAGGCTCTCGCCGGCACCGAGCCGTATCTCATCCGCAGCGGGCCCTATCGCGAACTGGTGATCAGCCAGCCCGACCAGGTCCACGAATTCTACCGCAGCGACAGCAAGAGCCACACCAAGCCCCGTAATCTGAACCTGGGCGAGCCCTTTGGCCGCTTCCTGGGCCCCTGTGTCGGGGTGCAGTACGGCGACCACTGGCGGGCGATCCGCAAGCACTTCGACCCGCCCTTCGCCTTCCACCCGGTCGCCCAGCGCATCCCCCGGTTCCAGCGGGAGATCGAGGCCTGGCTGGAGAGCAAGGCCCCGACGGCGACCAGCGAGCTCGACAGCAAGGTCGATTTCCGGTTCTTGGTCTTCAAGCTGCTCTCACTGCACCTGTATGAAGATGCGTTCGATGATCGAGTACGTTTACAATATTGTATTGAGGTTGCGAGTCGGGAGCTGACAAAGTACGACTAGTCCTACTGGACGCTGCTGGAGCTGAACGACCAGCACGACGCCATCATGATGGACATGCTGGTCAGCAAGCACCCAGACTCCAAGTTCTACAACCTGCTGCCCAGCGCCCCCCGCAAGCGACTCCAGGAATTCCACACCCGCTGGCAGGAGTTCAACCGCCTGATCGTCGAGAACGCGCGTGTCGTAAGTCCTCTGATCATAGTCCCACCAAACCTCCCCCCCAAACTCCAGGATTAACCATCACCAGGGCGGCTGGGCGTGTCCCGTCGAGACGATCTACCGCGGCGTGGAGCCAGACAAAGACTTCACCGAAGACGCCGTACGCGCACCTGCAGCCCCCATCCCCCAAGAAGTCACCTTCGATGCTAACTCCAGCACAGTTCCTAGCAACCATGACCGAGATCCTCTTCGCCAACGTCAACATCAGCGCCGAGGTCTTCCGCACCATCTTCACCAACCTCGCCGCCCACTCCCGCATCCAGACGGCGCTCCGCCAGGAGATCCGGGACTGGAAGGCGAAGCCCGACTTCGATCTGTCCAAGTACCTCGCGAAGCAGGATACCTTGCTCAACCGCGTGCTAATGGAGAGCATGCGCATCTCGCCTGCATTCTGTGGGTGGCCCCCCACCCACCCATTCCTTTTCATTCACAGAGAGAATCTGGATTGCTAATTTTGACATACCGATAGGGTTCTCCATGCCCGAAGCTACGGCAGAGCCCAAGAAAATCGGCGGGTACAACATCCCCGCCGGCACACCGGTGGTGATCGACACGCGCCGCCTGAACAACGGGGCTGCCACCTGGGGCGCGACCGGCGCGGACCGGTTCGACCCGGATCGGTTCTTGAAGGTGGCCAGCCAGGACCTGCGCTGCGGGTTCATGCGGTTTGGGACGGGGGCGGCGTCGGGACGGTGTTTGGGCAAGAACGTGGCGGATGCGGTGTTTAAGCTGACGGTGATGGAGGTGTTGGAGCGGTTTCGGCTGGAGAGCGTGAGCGAGAGTGGCAAGGAGGCGCGGAAGGTCGATGTCCGGTTGGTGGCGTTGAAGTAAGACAGTTGATTCGGTGCTGTAGTCGGTTTATTTTCTCGGATTGTTAGGTGGTTGGCTGGGTTGAATTCGATTATCAGTTTTGCGAGTCTCTGAAATCTATGGTGTTTGGTCTCGGTACCTGCGAGATTACAGTACTCGACAACGTTGTCAGGAGAGAATGGCTATCAGACACGTTTCAAGACAGTAAAGTGCTCAAGATACAAGGTAAATTTACGTTGTCTTCTGAGTTGGGAGTCATAAGATGGACTGACACTGTCCTTCCTGTAGTTTACCCCTGCCGAATTTCCTACAAGTATCTGTCCGGATGCGATGAAAAATTCTAAACCACGTTTTTTTCTTCATTAAAAACAAGCTAAAAACAAGCACTAACGCACTAACCAGGTAAAGACCAGCTACATTCGATTTCATCCGGACAAGACTAGCAGGGATCGGAGTACGCCTGCCTGCCTGCATGCACGCAGCCTCCACCTCCGGCTTCCACCTCCGGCCTCCGCTCGCCATTTCCCCCTAGCCCTACCCCTATCCCCTATCTCCCATTAGTGCTTGTGCAAGGCAACCAACACCCCCGTCTTATTCGACGGTCCAATGCGCATGACCGAGACGAACGGATTCTCATCGCGCGGCTCAATCTGTGCGTACACCTGCGCCAACCGGGCCAGGATATACGCCGTCTCCGTCTGGACCATCATCTGGGCCGGACAGCGCCGGGGCCCGCCCCCGAAGGGCACAAACTCCCAGAAGTGGGCCTGGTCCACAAAGCGCTCCGGCTTGAAGGCGTCGACGTCCTCCCCGAAGTAGAGGGGATCCTTCTGCATGACCGTCTTGGTGACCTGGACGACATCGCCCTTGCGGATCAGAATGGGCGACTTGCCGTCGGGCCCGCCCCCGAGCGGCAGGGTGGTGTCGTTGATGCACATGCGCACCTGCGACACGTTGTTGGGGTTGAGCCGGTGCGTCTCGTTGATGCAGGCGTTGAGGTACTTCATGCCGCGCAGCGCCTCGAAGGTGAGCGGCGCGTCGCCGTGCGCCAGCACCTCCGCGCGCACCTTCGCCCACGCCGCCGGGTTGCGCGCCAGGTGCCACACCACGTTGCCCGTGAAGATCGAGGTCGTGTCGTTGTTGGGCACGAACAGCAGCGACAGCTGGGACCGCAGCTCCGCCCGCTCCGGACAGTGCTTCGCCATGTACCACAGCAGGTCCAGCCGCTCGGGGCCCACGTCCTCCCCGGCCGCGATCCGCCGCTCCCGCTCTGCGATGTCCGCGTACACCCGGTCCAGGTGCTCGTCCATGTACGCGTGCACGATCTTGATCGCCCGCAGCCACCACGACCAGTCGATCAGGTTCATCACCTTGTACATCTGCAGCCGCAGCCGGTTGCCCCGCAGCACGTCCAACATCGCCCAGGTCACCCGCGCCCGCTCGGGGTGCGTCAATGCGTCCATGGGTGCGCCGAAGATGAAGTTAGTGGTCACGTCGAGGAACTGGTCGGTGGTTAGTCGATTGTAGATGAACCAACGGAGAAGGATGGCAGGGGGGGGGGGGGAAACTCACCCATCGCTGGAGGTAGGGCTGGATGTTGACCGTCTCTCCGTCCGGCGGCAGGATGCGCAGGAGATGGTCGGTGTAGGAGCGCAGCCGCTCGGTGTCGGCGTAGACCTCGCGCATGAAGAAGGGCTTGATCAGCGCGCGGCTGAAGACCCAGTCCTCGCCGTCGACGACGTTGACGCCGCGGTTGGCGAACGCGGCGCCGGCATTCTTGTAGCGACGGAGCGGGCTGATGGCGAAGTCCTTCCAGTTGATCGCCGTCAGCGACTTGAGGTTCTCGGGCTCGATCGTGTAGACGACCCGCGTGCCCATGAAGGTGATCTGAAAGGTCTTGGGCTGGCCCTTGTGTAGCTCGCTGAGCCAGGGGATGAAGTAGTGGCCCCGCAGCGCCTGCCACTGCGTCCACACCAGATCCACCCCCCAGAACGGCTCCCACTGGAACCGCGAGGGGACAGACTTGCAGCCCCAGGACCGCTGCTTGCGCAGGTCGCTCGCGCGGCGGACAAAGGACCGGAACAGAAGGGCCAGGAAGCCAGAGCAGAGGAGCAGGATGGGCAGGCTCTGCACCGGGAGGTTGTGGTACTGCACCAACATGATGGAAAAATCGTGTTGCTGCCGATTTTGCACGGGAGTAAATGATCTCAAATTCAAACCAAGCAAGTTGGCAGCAGCAGTAAATGGAACGGAAGGCCGGATTATTTCATATATCTATCTATTGTCAGTCAGCCCGAAACCAAGGACAAGGCCAGTCCGGCGGTGCTTGGCGGGCAGCTCCGGGGCTGATGGAATCTGACCGGACATCAGCACCGCAACCGCCGGACTTTTGAAACTCACCCCCCTCTAGCCCTAATGATACTCCCCTCCATGTGCTTTTCCGACACCGCACCACCAGCTTCAGCCTTGTCCGACGGCCTCATTGGGTGTAGTCTCATTGGATGTACTTCTCCGCGTGGCAGACAGGGGTTCAGTCCGCGTGGACGTCCGCTCCGGCGGGTCTGAAGACGATGAGGCTGGGGCCGGGGGCTTGATTGCCTGCGTATACTCTACATCGCAGACATATACATACGCTCTACGATCGCACCACTGGACAACTCCCCATCATCCGATCATTTGTACATCTCTCCCTCAACTTCAACAGAATTCAGGCCGACTTGCCGTGAATAGCAGTGACTCGCTATTCCCAAACACTCCCCACTCTTTCAACAACAACACACAAACAAAATGTCTCCCTCCGTTCCTGAACCCATCGCCATCGTTGGCTCCTCCTGTCGGTTTCCCGGCTCGGCCTCCTCCCCCTCCAAGCTATGGGACCTCCTCCGCCAGCCCCGCGACGTGCGGCGAGAGTTGAACGCCCAGAACCTCAACCTCCAGCGCTTCTACCACCCGTCCGGGGACACCCATGGCTCGACCGACGTCAAGGGCCAAGGCTACCTGCTGGCCGAAGACAGCCGGCTCTTCGACCCGGCCTTCTTCGGCATCAGCCCCTTCGAGGCCGACACCATCGACCCGCAACAGCGCATCCTGCTGGAAGCCGTCTACGAGACCTTCGAGAGCGCCGGCTACACGCTGAGCCAGATGCGCGGGTCGCAGACCTCCGTGCACGTCGGCGTAATGACCGACGACTACCATGACATCCAGGTGCGCGACCTCGAGAGCATCCCGCAATACACCAGCACGGGGACCTCGCGAAGTATCCTGGCGAACCGCATCTCGTATGTCTTCGACTTGCACGGGCCCTCGGTCACCGTCGACACCGCCTGCTCAAGCTCGCTGGTCGCCCTGCACCAGGCGGTCCAGAGTCTGCAGCTTGGGGAGGTCAGCTGTGCGGTGGTGGGCGGTGTCAACCTGATCTTCGACGCCGTCATGTACGTCGCCGAGTCGAAGCTGCACATGCTCTCCCCGGATTCGCAGTCGCGCATGTGGGACAAGACCGCCAACGGCTATGCGCGCGGCGAGGGCGCCGCCGCCATCCTGCTGAAGCCGCTCAGCCAGGCCATCCGCGACAATGATCACATCGAGGGCTTGATCCGGGGCAGCGGCATCAACTCCGACGGTCAGAGCCAGGGAATCACCATGCCCACCTCGGCGGCCCAGGCGGCCCTCATCCGGAGCACATACGAGCGGGCCGGCCTCGACCCCATCAAGGATCGGTGTCAGTACTTCGAGTGCCACGGCACAGGCACGGCCGCGGGTGACCCCGTCGAAGCGCAAGCGATCAGTGAGGCCCTCCTTGGGGAGGGAGCCTCCACCGGCGAGAAGACAGGCGACGAGAACTCGCCCCTGTATGTCGGCTCGATCAAGACCGTCACCGGTCACCTGGAAGGGTGTGCCGGTCTGGCCGGTGTCCTCAAGGCGCTGGTCTCCATCAAGCATCGCACCATCCCGCCCAACATGCTCTTCAACGAGCTGAACCCCAAGATCGAGCCGTACTACGGTCCCATGCAGATCACGACTGCACCCATCCCGTGGCCCAAGCTCGCCCCTGGGGTGCCTCTTCGCGTGAGCGTCAACAGCTTCGGATTCGGCGGTACCAACGCCCACGTTATCCTGGATAGCTACAACACCCCAGAGCAGGAACCCATTTCATCTCCCGCTGAAGGCGGTGCGCCACTCGGCCCCATCGTGCTCTCCGCTCACTCCGGCGCCTCGCTCTTGGGCAACGCCGAGGGACTTCTGCAGTACCTGCAGGAGAATCCGTCGGTGGACTTGTCAGACCTGAGCTACGTACTGCAGTCTCGACGGACAGCACACCGGGCGCGGGCCTTCTTCTCTTCGCCCTCACATCAGGGATTGGTCAACAGCCTGCAGAAATTCATCACGGACAACCAGCAGGTCGCCAAGAAGGATACGATTGGAATCCGCCACCAACCGATCAACCCCAGCGAGACGCCCGGCATCCTGGGTGTGTTTACCGGCCAAGGCGCCCAGTGGCCCGGCATGGGCCGCATGCTGCTGGACCACTCCCCGCTGTTCCGGGAGGTGCTTGACCGCTGCGATGCCGTGCTGCAGGCGCTGCCCGACCGCCCCGAGTGGCTCCTCGTAGACGAGCTGTGCAAGGATGCCGATACCTCGCGTGTCGGCGAAGCCGCCATCTCCCAGCCAATATGCACAGCCATTCAGCTCGGTCTCCTGGAAGTGCTGTTCGCCAGCGGGGTCGACTTCGACGCCGTGGTCGGCCACTCGTCCGGCGAGATCGCCGCCGTCTACGCCTGCGGCATCATTTCCCTGGACGCGGCGATGCAGATCGCCTTCTACCGCGGCAAATACGCGGGTCTGGCGCAGGGCCCGAACGGGGAGCGCGGCGCGATGATGGCCGTGGGGATCAGCTACCACGAGGCGCAGCGGTTCTGCAAGCAGCCCGAGTACCAGGGCCGGATCAGCGTGGCGGCCAGCAACGGCGTCCAAAGCGTCACCCTGTCCGGCGACAGCGACGCCATCCAGCAGGCCAAGGAGCA